ATATTATAACATTAGAAGACAAGAAGCCTTCTAATCAAATTGGTACTATCGAGAGTCACGTTTTTGACAAATCGCTTGCGTCATATGATTTGGATCAGTTAGTAAGCACCGCGAATTGTCAGACTGCTTACGCGAAGTTAGTTGATGCGTTTGCGCATTTTACAGAGAAAAGTACAAACGTCTTTAAGACAAAAACAAATGAAAACAACAGCAGCCCTAGTTGAGAGCAGATATTCTCTCGGCAATTAAACTTAAAGTTATTTTATGGGCGCTTTTCAACGAGAATGAAGTGCTCAAGATATAAAATTGCAATACTTCAGGCAGAGAAATTGAGTAACCGTTGTAATACCTTATGAAAAACGGAAACGACACCAACTCAAGTTCTTGACGCACGTTTTAATAGTGAAAAAACCTGTTCTCTCGTGAATGAAGTAAAATGCGGAAATACGCGCGGCTCTATCGAGGAAGGGTTTGGTGAATACTTTATTTACTATATGTTTTCCATGGCAAACACTTTCAATCGATTTTTTTTTCTTTAGTCTTAGGCATATTTGTTGATGTAAATGTTTCGTGAGCAACTCGAGAGAACCCTGCTTAAATTCTGCCTTTCTCTTAAACATGACTGAACGAGACCTTCATATGTTATAGTTAAGCATTCGGCCTCATATGTCTCGAGGTATAGATAATATTAAACTCGGCGACTTGTACTAGGCAATTCGAGCACGTTGTCATAAAGAATTTAAAACGAAAGAATAAAAACATAAAAGGCGTGTACGAACGACAACACTCTTTAAATTTTAAAGAGTGTGGTCGTTTATGTACGTCTTTTTTTGTTTGATTCTTTCGTTTTCTAGTATTAAGCGACTTGCCGGCAATTTTAGTGTAATAAAATGTATTTTTCTTCTCATACTAAACGAAAATATTGAGATGAGAGTTCTATATCAATATTGTTAGAACGCAATTGACCTCTTAATTAAAATGGGGCACGTGGCAGTGTAAAGAACTGTCGTCTTATTTCAAATCTTTTTTGATCGGCAGTGGTTCTCGGAAAACATATTTTTAAGACAATGATAGCCTTTCTTGAGAAATACCATTTTCTGTCACCTAACCGATAGGGCTTCATCGCCGGCCGCAGCTCTATCTCAGTACTTGATACGTCCAACACTATACACAGCTCATTCGACAATATTAAATTCATGTGCGCACTCTTTGCTGATGTGTCAAAGGCGTTGGTTACTGTCAATCACCAGACACGGTTCAAGAAGCATTGTAATTAAAGATTCCGAGGTCCATTTGTTTTCTTGTTTCGAAACTTTCGGAATGACAGATCGAATCAGTTGTTGGTTTGCAACAAAACTAGCGCCGAAATGAGTTTACATAATGAACTACCGCAAAGCTCGGTCCCGTCCCCCTTGTTGTTGAACCTTTACATGAACGATCTCACCAGATGAACGTCAGGGTGTTCAGTCTATCAGTACGCAGAGATGCGTTGTTATTATCTACTGATAAAAACTTGCGTAGTGCATTCAACATGCTCCAAATGAATTCTGCAGGAGTCACAAACTGGTTTGAAGCAAATCGAATATCTGTTAATGTGCAAAAAACAAAACTTGCCTTATTCTGTAATCCAGTCAAGCGCATGTGCATCGACAGACATTTTATATTACAGTCATCGTCTTGTGTATCTTGTAGCTGTACGTGTATACCATACGTAAATACAAGTAAAAATCTTGGTCAGTTCCTTCGATGATAAGCTACTGTGGAATACCCTCTTAGATCATTTGGTTAAAAAACTGGGAAGACCGTATTTGGCTAAAAGACTGTATCATGTTTATTATATCTCCTCAAAACCTTCCTCCCAATCCCTGTAAAAAAAATGGCCTTTAATGCTTTCGCGTTTGAAGCTACTTGATACGGGATTACAGTCTTCGTCAACTGCTTAGCTCTTTAAAGTAAAAAATTGGAGTCATTCTTAAGAGCGTCGTCAAGCACGGTGTCTATGATACCAATCAGATAGAGGATGGTGACATGCTCTTATCAATTGGCTTACCGTGTTTTTTGTCGATTTTTTTAACGATATGCCACCATAAAACGTTAATATGATAATCCGTTTAAAACACCTTACTTTATTCAGCACTCTATAGGTAACTGCGAACGTCTTATAGTTCCTCGAGTATGGACCAACTATGGAAAGCGTGTATAGGTTCATTTTCCGTGCCTGGCATTTTTCACAAATTACAAGGCGTTTTTAATCAATCGGTTAACATCGATCCTTAAAAACACATCTGAAAGAAATGTAATGGAAACAACATACGCATCTGTTTCTTGAGAATAATACTTCAAACATTTTTTAAACCCTTCTGTATTTGCTGCTGAATCTACGTGTGCATTTTATGTGCCTGTATATGTGTCTATGCTGTAACTACTTGTATATTTGTATATTCGTGTAAGTAAATATAGATCTATATACGGGACTTTATATTCCCTGGTGCATCTTAGTGTGATATATACTTGTAAAAACAAATGTTTTTTTCTGTTTTTTGTGAACGGTTGCAAAGTTTTTTTTATACTTTTTTGAAATTGTACACTGTCCTAACTGTGTGTTTACATATGTGGGTATTACTTTTCTCTTCAAGCATGACATTGTCTAGTTGTAACAGTCGTCTCTGTTTGTCTAATTTATAATATTTGTGAAGTGAATGAGGTTGTATACTGACTGATATTAGGGATGCCAAGAACACTTCCTCGTCTACCCCTCGTATTGGCTATCGTCCAAGCTGAAAAAAACAAAATGCTGGAATAATAAATTATAATATTTTTATTATCATTATTATTAATATTTTCATTATTATTATTAATATTATTGTTATTATTATTATTACTATTATTATTATTGTTACTGTCTCACCGCGTCATTTCAACCGCATCCCAGTTTATTTCTATCAGAATAAGCTACAGAACACAAAAAGCTAGACCTCCTACTCTCCTGAAAAGACACTGTCCATTCCCTACTTGAACTACGCCCAAAAGTAAACCCTCTGTTGTCAATGAAACAAGTTGTCGACACTAAACAAGACTTCTCTGCGATGCAAGGTTCCGTAAATTTTGGCTCCAAACAATGCGATTCGCTTGTCACAACAGATAAATTCCAACACCACAACGTTAAGGCGCTACAATTATAATTGAGCGCCCTGCTATTTTCTATAACAGGAAAGGCACTAAAAATCTCTCAGCTGAAATCAAACCAAAATAGCACAGAGGCAGTCGGTCGTTTTTCCAACATAGAAATGCACGGTATTCTGTGACGCCTCAAGCAAACATTGTGGACATAACGACAGTCCTCGCGAAGAAAGTTAACTTTGAGGATTTTCAGGCCTGACATGTCATGCCCGCCCATGGCCTGCCTGCTAGGAATGATGCTGTACCTCATATCTCGGTCGGGGTATCTTCCATTGCTGTGAAACAACATTGGATCTCAGGCCGTGGGAGGCTGGTCTCCCTACCAAGTGAGTGCGCTCCTCATCGAGTATGTTTCAATGACCACCTCACAGATCTCAACAAAAATCTCTTCTGGATGACTAGAACTAGAAGAAAAGAGAAGGACTGTAAGTTTATATGAGTACGACACGGCGGCATTTTAGCAAAACAAATTTCGGGATCCACGACACTTCGCGGATACATAAGCATTGGAGCTAATCATCTAGACATAAACAGACATGGTTCTAATGGCATTACTGTAATGAAATTAGTGTAATTAAACTACTTTTTATTGCAATGAGTAGCGTGATGAATTTCGTTTCTACGCTGATAATTTAGTAATGTATTGAAATACTTTCCAAATGAATTTTGAGGAAATTTATTATTACTTTCGTAGCTACCTTTTTCCGAGACTGGTCTGGAGAAAAAATCTGAGACGCGGGATTCGAGAGCGATACAAACACACAAAGAAGTGGTCGAAAGGCGAGACTGATGGAGAAAAGCTTTTGAGTGAAGACATAGCTAGAAGGGCACGGTTTACAAAACTCCAATCAAGACGGATTCGCAGAGAAAAGGAATCGGGGAGCGTTCCAGGCTACAATGCGGAGGGCACGTCAATACGATAAACAACCCATTTTAAAACCTGTGACGGGTGAGGAGTTTACCTTAAATCTCTTGGCAAGGATCACTCTAAAAAAATAGGGTATGATCTTACACCCTTGTCCGATATAAGACGTCCCAAACTTTCAGTTCGACATACAACGAGCTGACGTCGAACCGACGTTACCAACTTTCACGAGCAGCTTGATAGACGAGTGGTACAACTTATCAAAATAGCTCATGTAAGTGTTACCGACTACAAAAAGTAACCGGAGTTTTCTTAGCCCTACTGCAAAACCTCAGTTTTTTTTTTCTGCAGCCTTGATACGGGCTTTAGGTGTCTAATGAGGTATACCCCACAGTTTTTAAGCTCCTTGTAAAAGTTGGAGCCGTCGTTCGATATCAGTGCGTTGTACGTCGAATCAAAGCTTTGGGGTGCATTATATGGGAAAAAAGTTGTAAGACGACACATTTTTTTAGAGTTATTCACAACCTCTTGCGAGTTGTCTTGTCCATCGTAGGTAAAGGTGCTTTTCGTATGCTCCGTTCACCCCTATGCTGACACTGCGGTGGAAGCTGTGCGCTCGGTGAAGCAGTCGCGCGTTGATGTTGTGCCACTTCACGACGCCCCCGCGAATACCCACGCGACGGAGTGAAGTCCGGTGATAAGAGGGAGGCGGTTCACTCGTCCCAAGAGCACGAAGCTACAATCGCATTATCAGTTTATAGGTGAATGGATTATACGAAATACATTTGGAAACGGCTAAAAGCGTGCAAAGAAGGCTCACTTCGAGAAGTTAAGTCAGGGAAGCGCAAACACGCAGATATAGCCACTGGTTCATTGGGGAATTTTTGATTGGATTGGAAAACCTTTATTGTTCGCAAGAGTTACAGGTGGGTATGCTGATCTTGCTAGGTGGCCGTCAATGGAGACTTGCGGCGACCTCTTGGGCTCTAGTCACGGCCTGGACTTCGGTTTCCAGGTCGGAGCTGAGCAGCAAGTTCTCCCACGGGCCCGGGTGCGCGAGCCTCTGGAGCGATAATGGTGGGGGATCTGTCGGACAGTCCCAAAAGATGTGGTCTACGGTAGCTTTGCCGCCGCATTTGCTGCAATCGGGTTTAAATCTATCTGGGTATGCATGGCTTAAGACCGCGGGGTTAGGAAGAGTTTTAGTTTGCAGTTGTCTCCATAGTAGCTCCTGTTCTTTGGTTAAAATCTTATGCGGGGGTGGGAAAGTTAGCCTTTCGAGCCTGTAGTGTTGAGTGATCTCGTGGTAGGTTTTAAGGCAGTCTCCTGTCAATCTGACGTCCGAGTCAGCATCCACAGCTCGGCCGGTAGATCCTCGAGCTTTATCGTGGGCTGCCTCGTTCCCCGGGTTTGACGAGTGAGCCGGCACCCAGACCAATTCGACGTCTTGCCTGTCTTTCGGGTAATTCTTGAGAATTCCGAAGGAGATGGGAGATATGCGGCCCTTGGTGAAATTGCCAATGGCCGCTTTTGAATCACTGACAATCACCCTCACTTGCGGGCTTGTCAGCGCCAAGGCGATTGCCGCTTCTTCGCCAATTTCGGATGAGTTTGTAGGTACAGTCGCGTTTGCTACCAGTTGGCCCTCCTCGGTCACCGCGGCGATCTCGTACGCATTTTTGGGGGTCGGATAAGCGGCCGCGTCCACGTAGACGACGTCCGTTCGGCCTTCGAGTTTCTTGGCTAGGGCTTGCGCCCGGGCCCTGCGTCTGCCCTCGTGGTGGACGGGGTGCATGTTTTTCGGTAAGGGTTTTACCGTGATTGTCTTTCTGACGTTGGACGGGATTTTGCGGGTGCCCGCGTCGAGTGGTGCCGCGTTTATTCCCAGTCTTCTCAGGACCACTCTACCTGCATTGGTGCGAGCGAGCCTGAGCTCTTGCATTCTCCGATGGGCCTCAGTCAGCTCGTCTACCGTGTTATGTAGGCCGAGCTGCAGTAGCTTGTCGGTGGAGGTATTGATGGGTAGACCTAGGGTTGCCTTATAGGCCTGCCTGAGGAGTCCTTCGATTTTGAGTTTCTCGGCGTTGTATAATCGTAGATAGGGGAGGGCGTAGGTCATTATACTGATGATAAAGGCCTGCACCAATCGGCATAGATCGTTTTCCTTAACGCCTCTTCTCCTGTTCGCTATGCGTCGGATCAGTCTAATGGTCTGGTGGACCGAGACGTTTAGCTTTTCGATGACTTGGGTAATATTTCGGTTCTCTTGGATGATCATTCCAAGGATCCGGATGGAGTTAACTTGCTTAATGACTTTGCCTTGCACGTGTACGTTTATGTTGGCTGGCGAAGGGCTGGATTTCTGTCCCCTTGAAATGTCTCTTTTAATTAGGAGCTCCGATTTGGGATGAGAACATTCCATCCCTACCGCTTTGACGTAGGCTTCTATGGTATGGACTGCCCTTTGTAGGGTCTCTTCTATCTCCCCATCATTTCCTGTTGTGATCCAGAGGGTGATATCGTCTGCATATAAGCCTCGAGTTGCTTCGGTAATTCTACGAGTGCAAGATTAAATAGAAACGGCGAGAATACCGAGCCCTGTGGGGTTCCCCGACACCCCATGCGAAAGGGATCCGAGATCGTCCCGCCGATCGATATTTTTGCCGTCCTCTCGTCCAGAAACGATCTTACGTAGTTGAAGGTTCGGGATCCTGGATTTAACCTCGATAGGTTAGTGAGGATGGCCTCATGTGACACGTTGTCAAAGGCCTTGTTTAAGTCCAATCGGAGGATGGCTCTCGTGTTCGAGCTTTTGGGGATCACTTCTTCACTAAGTTGAAGCACGACATCCTGCGTGGACAGGTGGGCTCTAAATCCCAGCATGGAGGGGGGTAGGAGGTTGTTATCCTCCTCATATCCTTGGAGTCTGTTTAGAACCACGTGCTCCATGAGCTTCCCTAGGCAAGATGTAAGGGAGATAGGTCTTAGGTTTTCGGTTATTAGCTTCTTGCCTGGTTTAGGTATAAAGATGATTCTGGCGTGTTTCCATTCTAGGGGGATTTCGCCATCCTGTCAGTACTTGTTGATTAGGTCAGTTAGGGCCATCACTGACGTAAGGTCTAGATTTCTCAACATCTTGTTTGTGACGCCGTCGGGCACCGAGGCTGAGGTTGTTTTAAGTTGGCTTATGGCTTGCCATACTTCCGCTGTGCTAAATTCCTGGTCTAATTCTGGGTTTGGCTCACCCTCGTACAAGGGAAGGGGGTCGGTGGACTGCGTGGTGTTTAGGTATCTATCCTTGAGTTCTTTGATTAAGTCTTCTGTGTCGCCTTCATGTTGGTGCACCATTTGAGCGAGTCTATTGCGTTGCGCCGTTTTGGTCTGTGTGGGGTCGAGTAAATATCGTAGCAAAAGCTACGTATTTTTCTTACCCAGATGCCCGTTCACGCTGTCGCCTACCTGCCCCCACTACTGTCTTTCAAGCTCGAACGCGTAATCTTCAATTTTTCTTTCTGGCTGTGTTATCCTCTTTCTCAGGGTGCGGTTGTGTTTTTGCTTTTTCCACCTTGGTTGTAAGCTAACGTGGGCTTCCCACATGTGTTTCAATTTTGGGTCGGTCGTGTGTTGCGAGGTTATCGCTTCTGTTTCTTCTGTGGTGGCTTTTACGTCTTCTATCAGGGCGCGAGTCCACTCATTCATGTTGCCGATTTCCTTTGAAGTGGTTTTGTTCCTAATTTTACGGAAGTTGTCCCAATCCGTTAGTCTCGTTTTTAACAAAGGCTGTTTAAACGGGGCCGTCTGGAAGGTCGTTTCCACTATATAGTGGTCACTTCCCAACGTGAGGCCCGTATTTGTCCATGTGGCTGAGTTAATGTTTTTACTCAGGGCAAGATCGGGGACCATGTCCGTGCTGACGCTATTGCCGATCCTAGTAGGTTCTTTGACGTCGTTAAGGATCGTCATACCCACGTCTTGTATAGATTTCCAAAGCGCCGTTCCTTTGATATGCGCTTTCCGGTAGCCCCAGGCAGGGTGGTGCGCGTTGAAATCGCCTACCACTACGAGTTGAGATTTCCATGCAAGTTTTACGGCCTTACGGATAATGTCGGAGGTTGCTTTTGTTCTGTCCTTGGGTGAACTGTAGACGTTAAAAATGTAGACGTTTCCATCTCCCTTCTTACGCGGCGGGATTTCCGCTAGCGTGTGTTGGACCTTTGTGTCCTCGATTTCGTGTTGTATGGCCACGATGTTGCGTTGAACGAAAGTCGCGGTGACCGAGATTGTTTTTTTCGGGTCTGTGTTCAGGGGAATGAAAGGCGTGTAACCCGTTAATTTGATCGGACAACTGGCTTCTTGTAAAGCTATGACATCTGGTTTTTCGGATAGTTGCTGAATATGGAGCTGCAGATTGCCGCGTTTGTTTTTGTATCCCCTGCAGTTCCACTGCCAGACCTTAATCTCCTGAGGTCCAGGGGCCATATTGAATTGTTTGAGGAAGGTTACATGGTAGTTTCTGCACGAGCATTTGCACGGTCGCTTCTAGGGCCGCGAGGCGGTCGAGTGCCGTGAGGGGTTGTAATATTTGTTGGAGGGTTTCTCCGACTAGTCTGAGACTGTCTTTGGTTTCTTGGTTGTCTTTTTCAAGTTGATCGACCCTTTCGTCTTTTCGCATAGGTGCCTGAGAGGTGACGGTGGTTTTTAGTTTGAGCTGCGGCTCACCGTCTGGGGATGCCTCGGCTACTCTCTTAGCGTTAGCGTCTAGGTCCGTCGAGGTCTGTCTCTTTAGCGTTCCGCGGTTAGCGTCCGCATCCATCGCATTGTTGGTTGCGATTTGGGTAGGAGTAGGTGGAGCCGATTTTGCGGCTGCCGGTGTGTTGAGGGGGATAGAATTGGGACCTGTTTTGACAAGCTTTTCCAGCTCATCTAGTCGCCTACGGAGTGCAGCATTTTCCTCTTTCAGTTTTCTAGTTTGCTCCAGAAACTAGCGCTTCCCAGCGTTCGCCTGAAAGACCCTGGATGCCCAGCTCACCTGTTTGTCGGCGTTCTGGGTGGTGCTGTTGCCTCTTGAGGAGGGAGGTTTCTTGCGCTCGGTGCTCTTGCTTCTCGAGCTGTTTCTTCCGCGGTCGTCCAGGGGTGGGTAGGAAGTAGACCGGTTCCTCAACCGACTTTCGCTGCGGCGTTGGCCCGACGAGAGTGTTCTGGATCTTGAGTGCCGCCCGGGGTTGTCGTCGTCTTCCGACGAGAGCAGGGAGTACCGACCTCCAGTCGGAGGCCCCTTGGCCTGGAGTTTCTTGCGTTTCTCGACGAAACGGTGCTTACAGTTACGGCTTCCAGTAACGTGCGGACGTTCGCAGATGATGCACTTGGCCTCGCAGCTGAGGGGCTCACCCGCCTCCGGTGGCGGGTGCTCCTCTCCGCAGCGATGGCAGCGTTGGCTTTTCGGTCGGTAGCACACGTCGGCTCGGTGTCCGACCCTGCGACAGTTGAGGCATGTTTCAAGCCGTTCTTTAAACGGATGAGAAGTGAAGAGGCCTGCTTGGAAAATCATTTCCTTCGGCGGTTTGATGCCCTCGAAAGTGATGACGGCCGCACTGGAGCGTCCCATGCGGCGTGCGTTGACGATGGGGAGTTCTGGATTTTCCGTGATGCAGTAATGGAGAATTTCGTCGGGAGTCTCGTTGCCGAGGGCTCCGCAAATCACCACTCTTACGGATTGTTCTGACGTGGGGAAGTACGCCGTGACTGGGTACTCTTGGTTGTTCATTGCGAACCCTGGCAGGCTCCGATAGGCATCTGCTCGTTCTTTCACGGGAGCGCTGATCGTGAAAGTGTTGTTGTAGGGGTTGATTCGCAACCTGTCCTTCGCGAAGGTTTCTTGAGGCGGGAGGTTGAGCTGCTCGCAGATCGCCTTGAGTAACTGTCCCGGGGTAGCCATGCGGAGGTTTAGGTTACTCGGCCTGACCACGACCTTGCGGTCGTCTTCCTGTAGGCGTGGGAGGGGTGGTCTTCTACGTCTGGTTGACGGTTTGTTGTGGTTGGTGACAAGTGAGGACTTGCCTGTCTGTTGGGCGGGCCCGGGGGTGGTCGATCCGGCCTCCGGCTGCGTTAGGCATAGCCGTTCTTCTTTTTTCCGGATCCGGGTTTGGCGTGCTCTTTCATATTTTCCGCTGATAATACTCCATCCCTCTTCGGAGAGGATTGCGGGGGTGATCGTCTCGCCTTCCACGGCGTATTGCATCCTGGCAGCAGCTTTCGTAGCCCGCGGGCACGGCGGCGGTCCTCAGGCAGAATTACGATCTCCGACGCCGGGATGGGGTGGCTGCTTCGGAGTTTTCAGGCTCCATGGCGAGGCAGAATCGGGGGCCAGGGCGTGCCTCGCGCCAGGCGAGGTAGAGGGCCTGCCGCGCCGAGCGCCGGCTTGATGTTTAGGTTAGCATCACGTTCTCGCGCGGAGCTCGGGGGAGTCGACTGCTCTCGCCGGAGGTTGAAGCGAGATTTCATTGGGGAAGGAAACATTTCTGGAGGCGTCTGCAACCCCTTTCCTTTCCTGGTTGCGTTTCTCCCCAGAAAACACCCGACCGACTTGCGTGGCAATGCGCGCGGCAATTCGTGCTCTTCTGGTGTTATGGAACAATACTCTTCGAGAAAAATATCCGGTAATGCTTCGACCAGAGCACTTCAGAAAAAGCAAATCGAGCGTGTCGGAGTTAGAAGTTTTAAGTATTTCATCAACCATGTGCGAAATGCATTCTGGAAGGAGAGGTCTCCTTCGCCAAAGGCCAGATAAAGGGGAGTTTAGCACATCTCACAGAAGAGAGCTGCCATGATTCGGCCAACCGAAATGGACAATTTCTCCAAAATCGAGACGACGCATTTACATCAGTCACTAACTTCACTATTGAATTAAGAGCGACACCACTGAGCTGTCTGTTTGAGTCATGTCTTAAGAAGCTATACATTATGTTTAACACTCCCGTCGTCCCGCGCACTAATTACTGCCTAGAAAGTAATTTAATTACTTTTCAAACGTAATTGTAACGTAATTTAAGTAATTTCAGTCTGTTATAATTTGTAATGTAATTTAGCTACATTTGTATATTTCTGATGAAAGTAATGAGTGATGTAATTTAATTGCTTTTGAACAGTAATTTTTCCAACTTGTGACACAAACGGCTAGCTTTTTCCGGCTTAACAACCTCCAATCTTGTCGAGAAATATTTACTTCAATTGCATGAACTATCAATTTAATTTATGTTGATATCCGTAGCATCCGTGAGCACTGGCACAAATTCCAACCAGCTATTAATTCCGTGTTTTCAATAACTCACGCATTTTTTCTAACAGAAATCAATATTTTAATGAAAGTGCGGACCAGTTTTCCGTACCGGATTCAAAATAATTTTTGATTCTCGGGACAAGAGG